GCGTTGTTGTTTCCCCGCACCGTTACTCCCCCGCGCCGATACTCCCCCGCATCATTACTCCCCCTATGCAATTTTGACGAAACTGAGGATCGAGTAACAGAGTCAACCCTCCATTTAATTATACAGGTTAGGGTCAGTCTAGGTAAGTGGATCAAATCTACGACCTGTTTAAGTCCAAATTTTGCGGAGAATGTCATGTACCACGCAAGTCCTTTATGCGAAATTTCGAGTTCGCACGTATGTAAGCACGTACGGAGGATATTGAACATTTCCAATAGATTCTACGAATAATCTGCGAACAGCGAGGCCGCAAGCGTAATTTGCTCCCTTTCTAAGGAGTTTGCGATTGGTTTGCAAGTGAGACTTGCCTGGTCCAAGATGCACGCCGCAAGAAATGAAGGAGAAAGAGCCCTTTGCGTGTTGAGTACGGCGCACGCCCTCACATCTATAACGAACAAAGTCGAAAACACGACGGGACAGCGAGTATAAAAGGCGTGCTCACGACAGGGGCGGATTTAAGCCGTCTTCTGGGTCTTCCAGAAGACGGTCAGATTTTCAAGTTTACATTGAATGGTATCTATCTTTTTCTGTCGGAAGACGTGTCAAAAAAGGAGGATGGATCCACAAAGATAATTTGGAAGACTATCAGAAAATATCTCTGGATCCGCCCCTGCACGACGCATGCTCATGTCTCGATAATTTCGTTGTGCAACAATTTTCAAAAATTTTGAATTTTGCTCAATTCAGATTCTAATCTAATTCAGATTCAAAAGACAAGGGAAAGAAGCTTAAAGAGCAGAAAAGAAGGTTGGAGGAAAAAAAAGACAGAAAACGAAGCGCTTTAGGACTTCTTTTTTATTACTTAATAATTTTACAAATATATCGTTGCCTGAAAAAAAGGACATAGCTGCGTTATCTTAGATTAAAACTAACTTTGCCTTAAGTTAATAAAAAAATAAAAATAAATAAATAAATAAATAAATAAATAAATAAATAAATAAATAAATAAA